CCCCCCCCCCCACAGCTGTGGAAAAGTTGCCTTGGCCAACATGTCACTGAGACACTCCTGGCATTTAGCTTGACTCCTGGACTGCCTCCAGTACAGCCTTCAGCCAGCCCTGCAAAGCCTCCTCCTCCTCCTTCCTTCCTCTGAAGGCAGGCAGCCCTGATGTCCCAGAGCACTGCCACCGATGTGTCAGAAAAACAACCTTGGGCCACCGTGCTGGCACAGGATCTGTACAAATTGCCTCTCAGCATCTCGGCACAGGGAGGGAGCACGCATTCCCACCCCGTGTCCCTCGGCGCTGCCGCTGCGTACACGCGGTGCCGGACACTCACGTGTATCTGGAAGCCGTAGTTGCGCTGCACCGCGAACTCTGTCACATCCGTGCAGGAACGGAGGTCGATTTCTCCGTCAAGGTCATCAGCCTGCAAGCACAGCCACCCGCTAGGACATCAGTGCTCAGCCAGCTTTGAAAAAGGCCACCTCTGCCTTCATCTCACAGCTCCCTGGGATCCAGGCTCAGCTCTTTGAGAACCAGGCTCAGCTCCCCAGCAGAGCATGGCCTCTTCCAACCCAAGGGCCGCCAGCGGCGTGGATGGAGAGCACCCCGGATACCCAGCCACAGGACCAGCCCTTCTCCCCACCTCCCACCACTGACAGTGCCACCAGGCTCTGCCACCCTGCCTTCATCCTCTTCATCACCCCTTGGCAAAGAGCAGCTTGGCACCTCTGCCATCTTTTGGGAGGATATGGTGCTGTTGCTTGTCCCCGGTCGCACCAGAGCTGTGCTCCTCTCCCCCTGGCCAGGAAGGAAGAAAGGGCTGGCGAAAGGCTGGCCATGCTTACCTCCTCTGCGTTTGAGTCCCGGTAATACCTCAGGCTCGAGTCGGTCAGCACGAACCAATGTTTCTTCCACTGCAGGCGCATCGGGCAGGGGGAGGGAAGGGAAAAGACAGGAGGGAAATGGACAGGCAGTTACCAGGGAAAGCGTAGGAACAAGGAGGGACGCTCTGCACTATGACCTCTCCGTCTTCTCTTCCCCCTCCTCCCTCCCAGATCCCCCTCGTGACCCTCAGCTGGGAGAGAGGCACTCGATGAACCTCTGTGTCCACACACAGAGCGAGGCACCTCCACCAAAAGTTTCCTGCTGCCTTTCCCAGCAGGAGAGACCTCAGTAAGCAAAGGGGAAGGAAATCAGCTGGCTCACTGGGGTTCTCCAGCAGCAGGGGATAGGGGAAGAGGCAGACTCTCATCTGAGGCTTACCTCTCCTGGCTCGTCCAGGATGGACATCCATCCCTTCTTGAAATTGAGAAGATCCGGCTGGAAAACAAAACAGAGAATTACTGTCTTGGAGTGGCCACACAAAAGGGCTTTCCGTGCCAGGGGGTGGAAGGTGAGTCCCTTGTGGCAGAACAAAAATGGGAATAGCCTTTTAGGAAACTCATGTGGCTATGTGACCCTATGGCGAAAGAAAACTGGGCATAGCTCTCAGCAGCAGGCAGTCATTCCTGTAAGAGGAAGCAGCAGATAAGGGAAGAGGTTTAAAAAAAGTAAAGGAAAATATGCAGCAAAGAGATTTCCACAAGGTGCCTCAGAGGTATTTATTCAGAGAGGGGGAGGCAGGGACAAGGAGAGCGGGCACCACCAATAAGGCTTGCCTCAGAGATGGAGAACCAGACACGCCTTGTCCCAACCCTGGCTGTCCTCCCCCCAGAGCTATGTCCCTCTGGTACCTTCACCACCAATCATTTATCAAAAACATAGTAGCTCAGCTCTCACCAAAAATCTACAGGAGGCAATTCAACAGCTGTGAAAACACGCTGACTTTAAACGATGTGCCCCAGGGTAGAGATGAAGTCAGTGCTTGATCCTCTCCCTTCTCCCTCCAAGGTTCAACTCTCTCTGAGATTCTGAGGGTTTTTCTTTTACCCAGCTCTTTCTGCACCCTCCCCCTACAGAGCCTGCCCTCTGCCCAGACACAGCTACAGAAGATAAGGATGAAGAGAATTTCACCCAGATTACCCTGTGCCACAAAGGAGTTTCCACGCGCTCTCTGCCTCCTCCTAACCTCATGTTGCTGGTGCAGCATCCCAACCAGTTTATCTTCTTCCCAAGGTGGAGCACCAGAGAGCTGACTCAGGGGAACCTCTCTCCCTAGCTTTGCCCTCAGCCAAACAGGCTCGAGCTGGTCCCTCCTCCCACCCCTGCTGGCTCCCAGGAAGTTGCACCATCAAAGAATTCAGTCCAACGCCTCTTCACCGATGGAAGTCAATTTGCCAACCTGCCCCTTCTTCAGCAGCCGAACCAGGCAGGAACAGCGCTGGAGAAGTGACACTACCAGAGCTGGACCTCCCAGAGGTCTGCCAGTCCTCTGGAAGCCACCAGCAGTCCCCACGTGTCACAACCACCAGCTGAGACAGGGCTGGGGACAAGTAGGTGGCTCAGCAAGCCACCGGCCGCTCCACATCCCCTGAACAAGCCCAGTGGCCGGCCACAGCTGCCCCACAAGCCCAGCTCCCCGGCTGTACAGCCAGGCCAAGCCTTTCCCTGCTTTCATCTCCCTGAGCTGCTGCTCCTGGGTTACACCCAAGGTTATGGGGCGGCAAGAGCCGAGTATGTGCCGGCCCACCCTGGCGCTCTGGCGATTGGTTCAAGAAGGAGCAAGGAGTCCTGCCAAGGGGAGGTCACCGCCTGCTACAGCTTCGGGCCTGGCCAGAAGTATCCGGCAGTCCTGAGCTCCCTGGGAAGGGAGGGAAACCAGAGCAAAAGGACGTGGGGGGGCTCCCGAACCTCACCTCCTGCTGAGGTGACAGGCACTGCTGGCAGCAAGGAGACGAGGGAGATTTATGCATCCCACATCAACCCAGATTTGTGGTGGCTCAACTGCTGCCCTGAGAAAGCACCCCAAAAATTAATTCTTTCTCTGTGGCAGCAGCTCCACCCTTTTTCCCGTTATTCCTTCCAGTCTGGTGACTTAAGCTCCAGCTCTGAATCCAGAGTGGGGAGAGGGAAGGAAAGGACACAAAACATCAAAGTACAACCACTCCCCTCCTGGGACGCACGTGCGCTCAGCAGAAGACAGAGAGATGGGCAGGCTCCGTGGAGGCAGAAAGACAAAATAGGGAGAGAGTGGGGCTGTTGTACAGATCAGCTGGGTCTCATCTTACTGAGGATTTACAATCCCAAAGCACTAGGTGCCAAAATAATGAATATTATTAACAGGATGCATGCCGCGGGAAAAACTGCCACGAAGTCCTGCCAGAACTGCTGCCCCCAATGCAATGCTGGGGCCAGAAAATCCCCCTGGAGGGCTTTTCCCAAGCAGGCAAACTGCAGAGGGCTTCTGCTTTCCCTGCCAGCCCTAGACACGGAGCTGCAGCTCTGTAGAATTGTCTTTGAACTATTCTTGTCATAGCAGGGTCAGTACCATAGGCTGAGGCCTCAGTTGGTACACAAAGTGCTTAAAGCCACTTTTCTTCCCCTCCCCACAAGCAAATCCAGTTTCCTCACCCAGCATAAAAAGCTCAGGATACCGACAGAGAAGAGCGGGGGGTTCAAACAGAACCCCTCATCCAGAGGAAATGGCCCAGCAGTGGGAGGAGGAAACATCCAGGAAAGCCGAGCTGCTGGGAGAGATCCGGGTCCCAGAGATGCAATGATGTGGCAGGATGCACCCCCGGCAAAACGCTCGGGGCTGCAGATGGCTTGGGAGGTGGTGGCAGTGATTTTTGCCCGGTTGCATCAGAGTTTTATGTCCAGCCCCACTGCTGGCCAGCTATAGAGGCACTGGAGGGGGTCTCAGGTGGCTGGGGACGTAGGTGATACCTGGAAAGACTGGCTCGAAAGAGCAGGTTAAGGAGCGGCAGCTGCCTGCTCTGGTTGAAGAAGGGCTACAGGGAAGGTGATAACAGTCTGTAAGTATCCGAAGAATGTAAACACCAAAGAAGGAAAAGGGACAGGGTGGGAGCAAAGGAATGGCTCCTGGGTGGTACTGAGGCGCCAGGATGGAGAAGTGGAGGAGAAGAGGCTGCGGAAGGCTGAGAAAGCTCAGTGTCCGAGCAGGATAGTCAGATGTGTCCTTTCATCACCAGCCTTTGTCATCACCGTGCCTCTCGCTCTTCCCAAAAGCTCCTCAGCACTGCAGGTTCTGGGGCACTCTTCCTCTCACCTCCGGGAGATGGTGCAAGGGGCTCCCAAGCCTCCCGGAAAACACAATGTCTCCTCTCCTCTTAAAAGGGAACCCTCTTCAGAAGGCGTGGGCCCCAGGCCAAAACACAAAGCAAAGCCGCTCCAGCTCACTTGGGTGAAAGCAGAATCACTCTCAGGCTGGAGCACGCATGCAGCTCCCCAACCTACACGTGCAGCTGTGAGAGGAGCCAGCGGGCGATGGTCTGTCCCTTTCCCACCGCCCCCGTGCCAAGCGCCGGCGGGCACAGCCCAGCCTGGCACCTCCATCAGCCCGCTCGCCGGCGGGCACAGCCCAGCCTGGCACCTCCATCAGCCCGCTCGCCGGCGGGCACAGCCCAGCCTGGCACCTCCATCAGCCCGCTCGCC